TTGAGTCAAGGTCGACTCATAGAGACTCTATGAACAAAAGATTTAGTACCTTTCCATAGCTATCGTTGTTTCTCCAACTTCATAGTTTTCAGAGGCATGTGATTTAGGAAGTGGATGTCACTCCGGCTTCCAAACCTGTTTTACAACTGGGAGTTCCACCAAACACTGTCCACAATGGGAAACCATTATGGTATTTGATATCCCCATAGCACAAGGTTCAGCATCACAGCAAACCCAGGTTAGCTCATACAGCACATTGACAAAGAGTGATGTGCAAAGTGGAAGAATGTTCCTCCAGATATAATAGCACTAGTCTCATTTAGCAGTGGTGAAGTGTTGTTGAGTCGAATACGATTCAGAGTAGGCTTTGCACAAAAGACCTGAACTCTGTTCTATAATTAACATTATTTCTGTACATTTGTAAGAGAGTTTGTAGAGGATAAAGGATAAAAGTTTAAAAAATTAACAAGCAGCTTTTTCAAAGATGGTGCTGAAAGCGAAGAAGGAAGCCCCAGCCCTTCCCAAAACTGAAGCCAAAGCAAAGGCATTAAAGGCCAATAAGGCAGTCCTGAATGGCGTCCATAGCCAAAAAAAAAAAAAAAGAAGATCCACACATCACCCACCTTCTGGCCGCCTAAGATGCTGAGACTCCGAAGGCAGCCCAAATACCCCTGGAAGAGCACCCCCAGGAGAAACAAGCTTGACCACTGTGCCATCATCAGCTTTCCCCTGACCACTGAGTCAGCCATGAAGAAGATAGAAGATAACACACTTGTGTTCATTGTGGATGTCAGGGCCAACAAGCACCAAATTAAACAAGTTGTAAAGAAGCTCTATGGCATTGATGTGGCTAAGGTCAACACTTTGATTAGGCCTGATGGAGAGAAGAAGGCCTATGTTCAACTTGCTCCTGATTATGATGCTTTGGATGTTGCCAACAAAATTGATCATCTAAACTGAGTCCAGCGGGCTAATTCTAAATATAAATTTTTCTCACACCCACAAAAAATTAACAAGCAGTATTGATTCAAAAGAGTAAAAAAAAAATACTTGGCAATGCCAAACATTTATGGAAAACTCTAATGCCTCAACAAGAAAGAGATAATATTTTATGTGGATCCACAATCAATGCTCATGGAAGCAGCAGCTAAGAAATCAAACTACGCTTTGTATTGGACAGAGGTGCAGCCAAAGACCCCCGTGAAGTGTTAAATCACAAATCACTTTGACGACAAAGATGTGCCTGACTCAAACCATGATATTTCTCAATTGCTTCAATGCATATTATTTTTTAAAATTTTCTACTAGTTTATAAAATGCATTGTTTTCAAGAACAAATTCTTTCAATTTCCCTCACGCTCCCCACCCATCAAATTGTACAAGCAGATGATGAATACCTTCCTCCCCTGCACATCCTCATCCCTCTGCTTCCAGCCTCTCCCACTCCTCTTGGATCCTTATACTCATTCTACAGTAATGTTTTTATACACTATTTATCCTTGTGAGACTGAGTTCACTCAGCATTATGCTCTCCAGTTCCTCCCAAGTTAGGTAATAATTTACAAAGTCATTGCTCCTGCATGCTGAATAAAGTATTCCATCATAAAGTATCCCATACCATAATTTCTCAATCCGTTAATTTGTGGTTGGACATTTGGGCTGTTTTCATGTTCTTGCGATGGTGGATACTGATGCTATGAACATTGGTGTACAAGTCTTTGTGCCTTACTTCTAATTTTTTCAGGGTATATTCCAAGTAGTGGGATAGCTGGGTTATATGGAATTTCTATGTTCAGCTTTTTGAGGTAGCACCAAACTGCCTTCCAGAATGGTTGTACCATTTGACAATCCCACTGACAATTTTTAAGAGTTCCTTTCTCACCACATCCTCTCCATCATTTATTACTTGCTGTCCTGTTAAAAACTTTGCATTTTTACTGTAGTGGGATGGTACCTCACTGTGGTTTTGATTTTCATAGGCATATTATTAAAGCTGAAGAATGAATAAGGAAAACTGAAGAAGAATTGATACTTTTGAATTATGGTGTTAGATATTAACTGCTCCAATCTATGTACAAATTTGACTTGAAGGCAGATTTAAGAACAGAGCTCTGAACTTGTTCATAGTGTGGGATGTGCCCACAATGCATCCCACCTGATACCTCACAGAGTCTCCATAGATTTTGCACTCCAGACGTCTACAGTAGTTGATGTTTGTGGCTGGTGAGTGAACCCTGACTCTTGACCACCTCACCCTTGGCAGACAGAAACATTGGTCCTGTGACATCTCCATCATCTTTCATCTTGAGTCTGTTGTGATGATTGTGTTGGTCCTTTTCATGGAGGATTTCTCTCCTTGTTTGACACTCTGTTTTTCCAAACACGATGTCCTTTTCTGGGGACTGGTCTTTGCTGATCATGTACCCAATGTGAGCAACACAAAGCTTCACCATCTTTGCTTCCAAGGAGCATATGGTTCTGTTTCTTCAAAGACTACTGATGTGCTCTTTGGAAGCCTAGAACTGATTTACTATTCTTCACTCACACCACAATTCAAACCAATACGTTTTTTGTCTTTTTTATTGTGCAGCATTGAGGCAACTGAAAAAATTGTGCCCAGGCTGTGCCTAGAGTGACGACCAGCTTGGTAATGCACCTTCACTGGTTCATTCTTGTTTTGCTTTCTCTGTGCCTTCATTTTGGCCTTCTAGGGTCGACTTCCAAATAAATTGCCAGTCTATAATTATTTTTCTAAATAAATTACCAGTCTTTTTCCTCAATTCTTTTTCCTCAGGCTTTCTCCCTGGTCTTCTTTTCATGGTTTTGCAGTCCCCCACTCTCCGTATTCATGGACTTCTCTGTACCTGTTTTGTTTTCTGTATCCCCAACACCTTGAGTAATTCCAGATAGACCACCCTTCCTGCTCCACTTCAAGTTACCGATTTTGTCTGCTTCAAAGACCTTTATCTCCACTACACATGAGGTGCTCTCAAGGCCACTATTGGGACTTTGTGATAACATGGTATTATCCTTATCTGAAATTTCAAATTTTCTAGCTTTGAACTCTTACCTTTTTTTATGCTTTGTTTGAAATCTTTATAAAATATTCCATTGAAAAGATAAATATACCATTACGGATTTGGCCAGTCCACAAACGGTGGTCATTATGATTGACTAAAGGTTTTTGTTGTTATTGTGTAACACTACAGTAAACATCCATACACATTATCTGTAGGATAAACTCAAATAAGAGAAATTGCTGGATGGTAGCTATTGCGCAATTAATGTCTTGACAGATGTTTTAACCCTTTTGGTGACTGGGTTATTTTCTGCCTTGAATTTTTTCAGTAATTTTCAGGATTTTTTCCCACCATGTGTTGTCAGTAATGGAAGATATTTTGAGATCAAGGGGAAAATTTTGAAGTAATACCGATTTGGATACTCCGAGTGGACTGTGATGGTAGGATTGGTGGAATTAATCCCATTTCCTCAAATTCTTGTAGTTATCTAGGTGTCCGCCAGGGGGCAGCACCTAACTACAATAGTAGCTTCTGAAGAGACTTGAGAGGTGAAAATTGTGGTGGCTGTTGTGGATCTTATGAAAAAAAAGGGTTAAAATTTCCCTCTCGAAAAGTTTATGCTCAAATGAGTAGGAATGCTATTGATTTATTACATTTTAACTAACACTGGGATTTTTTTTCCTCTAAAAAATGAATTTGTATTTTTAGAATTAACTTGCATTTTTGTCAAAAGTCAATTAGGACTGAAAGACTCATAATTAAACCGACCAACTGTCTCCTGTCCGCCTCCCCTGCCTCTTAAACCATCTGGAGTTAATCTTCGAAGCGAGCTAGAGATTCAATGTGTTATTCTCCACTCCCTTTCTCATACGACAAACCAGGTTTTTCCCTGCTTCATGTTTTGAATAATCTCTTTTCTCCAGTGATCTGGCATTTCTATCAACGACCCATGCTTAGGACTCGTAAAGATCTAAATTGTGGGTTATGGATTGTTTCACCAGTTATTCTAGTCCAGAACCAATATCGCAACATCTTTTTTTTTTT